TTATTTGCTCTCCATCGAAAACTGAAACATAACCATAGAAGTGAATATTATCAAATGAACCTTTATAACATAATAAGCAAATAGATTTTCATCATCATGATGTAAATGTAGGTACTTAGTTTTATAGGATACATAGAATTACAATTACTAAGATATTTACTCTATAGAAAGAGAACAAACAGTAAAAAAAGAAAAAGTTCTATATTTTTTCTATAAATAGATAGATAGTGAATAGATGTCTATATCTGTCTAGACGTTAATCGAATAGTTATTATTTGCTCTCCATCGAAAACTGAAACATAACCATAGAAGTGAATATTATCAAATGAACCTTTATAACATAATAAGCAAATAGATTTTCATCATCATGATGTAAATGTAGGTACTTAGTTTTATAGGATACATAGAATTACAATTACTAAGATATTTACTATATAGAAAGAGAACAAACAATAAAAAAAAAGTACTGTGTTTTCTCTATTAATAGATAGAGAGTGAATAGTTGTCTATGTCTATCTAGACTTCAATAGATGAGAAGTCTATCTCATCTACTTAAGCGACACATAAAAGTTAGAAATACGATATGAGATCCTGACACTCTTCCGATGTGCTACTATAAAGTTATTTATAGATTTCCAAATTTGAAAAATTATAGATTGGATAATAGTTTTGGAGATGTCTACTGCTATAACTATATCACATATTATTTTAAAGACATATCCAATTATTAAAAGAATAATAAAGATTTTATCGTAGGTTACATATAAATTCAGCTCTTTTTTTTAGTTATACTCTGCAAGAGCTAACATTGTCAGAGTGAGTAATTCTAGTGTTTTCTGTTCATTTTGTCAGTGACTTGGAGTAGAGAAATTATTTTTAATGGTCAGTATTAAAATTATATGTGAATAACATTCTGTTTACTAGTAAATAAATTAGGTGTTTATCAAGAATTTAAAAATGTTTATGTTCAGTTTGTGTTTGGACAATTGTTTCATTAATTTTATGTTATGTACAATAAAAATTATGTGGTTATACAGTTTATTTTATCCATTGATATATACAACTAAATTAATATAAATTCATTTTATATAAACATGTATTATTTTTTAGTGACTGTGGCTATTGTAAAATTGCGTTGTGGTTAAATATAGTATATGAGATCAGTGGTACAAGATTAACATGCCCTTGAGCACTTTTAACATATTTATGGTAGAATAATGAACTATTAGGTTTACGGATAAATAAGAAGAGAATGGGTTCACTATTCTAATCTTTTCTATATAATATTTCTGAAGAAAAGTTGTTTGAAATACAATAAGTTCGAAACGAATAGTTACCTTAGGAATATTTTCCTTTTGTTTGACAGGTGATAGATAAGGTTAATCAGATATAACTACACCATATTGAGTTCCAAACACTTTTCTTATGGGGAAAAAAATTTAAGATTTGTAACTATATATATGTATATAGCTTTGGTAAAATATAACACTCTGTTGTTGTGCTTTTTACAATAAAAAAAGTTCTATTATTATCTATGTCTGATCTGATCTTTAAAGACTAAAAAAAATTAAAGAGATTCTTAAAAATATTGTTATCTCTTATTTAATATTTGGGAATATTTTATTAAGATCAGTGCTTTGTTTAAAAATTATTACAAAACAAAAATAAGAAAATTTTGGAAAATTCACGTATATTCCAAAACTTTACAACCATAAACAGTAGCAAAATCGGGACTGTTACCAATTAGGGTGGTATGACTGATAGGATTACAAATATATTATGAGTCGCTATTGTCTAGCCTAATGTTTAAATCGCATTATGATAAATAATGACTATAGCAGCTCTATTGGCTGAACATATGAGAGATATGATATTGGAACAAAAAGAATTGATTACAGTTATTGAAAAGGTAATGATCATCGCTTTTTCATATTGAAGTTTTCAATGCGAAAACTGTAATTGCCTCTGCCAGTAATGGTTATGGATAAAACATATAGATTCAAAAGATTACAATGGTAAAAAGATTAATTTGACCATTTAATTAATGAATCATGTTAATAGAATTTACAAACTTTTAAAACAGATTTTTTTTAATTCAAAAACCAGATTACAGCTGTGTTTGCACAAATAGTTAAACTGTAGAATTCAACAAAGCTGTGAATTAAAATTTAATTATATGAGCTGTTTTCCTCTTTTTTATATATTTTTTGAAACCATATTTTAAACTGATTATCCAATAGCACGATAGCTTCAAAATGTCGACAGTGGATTCAGTGGATTAATACTTTTACTGATCCTTCACGCATTATATCTGCATTGCTTGTAGACAGCCATAATAGAGCAAAAGAAATATACGCAAATGTTCTAAACTTTTTTCAGACTTACTGGCTTCTTTTTATGCTCGGTTGATGCCATATCTAATATATACTTATTTTCCGGCTCTACTTGAGTTTCAGTTATATTCTTTTCAATTCCACGCTTAATACTTTCGATTTTCGGCTTATTTCGTATGCTGACATAGATGTCTCCTAATATATGTTGACACTATCACCCATTTTGGATATTTAGTTTGTTTTGAACAGATTTAAATGTTGCTCGATTAAATTAAAAAAAATGGATCAAAGAATCGGTATTAAATTATGTGTGAAAAATAAAATTAAGTGCTCTAATGTAGTTGAAATATTGACTGTGGCGTCTCGCGAGTCTAATTTAAGCAAAAATATGTTTATAAATGCTACAAGTTATAAGCAGAAAACCGAAAATATATTAATAACGATGCCCCCTGGACATCCCAGCACATCAACAATAGATGAAAACGTTGTAGCAGTGAAACAAATTGAGAAGAATTAGAGAAGTTGCAGGATGTTATCTTATCGGTTGGTTCATTTTATAATATTTTTTCGGTAGTTTCTGGCATAGAATATATGTTCAAAATTGCTAGATCTTGTCTAAAAAAAACTTTTGCATGTTTCTATTACTTGAATACAATTTTTTGACCAAAAATTATATCTTAGTTAGTGGGTTAGTTAGTTAGGCTTAGTTAAACTTAGTATAATCATTGGAGTTGGTTTTCCTTTCCTTTTTCACAAAACTGGAATGACTTGTAAAAGGACAGAGATTTGTCACAATTGAGAAAATAAAAATCGCATACCTGTGGAGTTTCGAAGTCATATGAAATAGAAATATATATTAGAATTAAAAAAAGCAATTGCAAAAGTGTATAATATATGGGGGCTTGATTACTTGAAAGGAAACAATACAGATATTGATACATAAGTAAATGTTTTTCGATATTAAAATTCACTTTATTTTTTGAATAAACTTCTGACGTATAAATACAGTCTTTCGATTGGGGTTCTTTCCATAACCGCATCTCTTATTTTATGCTTACATATATACACTAGTATAGACAAGGTAAATTTAATTAAGCTTGCCGTAAGCTACTTATAAATTTATTCATGCCTAGCAATATGAGATGGCGCAAAATTTTTATCTAGATTTAGGTAAAAATATAGGCCCTCGATTCATTTTGACAACTCACCTACACTTTCTAATTATATGGCTCCATATACACACACATTAGCATAAATTTATTGAGTATCTCATGGTTAAGGAATATCCGCACCTGGACAAGAGTTCGAGCTATGGGCGAATTGATACACTCTGTGCAAACGAGAGATCTTTACTCAGGCATAGTAAATAACATATCGTTAAGAGCTTTTTTGAATGCTGTATTGTTTGTAGTTTAATGTAAAATGATGAAATTGAATGTTAAAAGTTAAATGTTACATTTTGTTTAGCTTGATTAATTTTAAGTATTATTAAAGAAAAATTTGGAGTATTGAAGACTTAAAATGAAAATTACGTGGAAATAAGCTTACTGTTAATAAATGCGACCGCTGACACTCAGAGTGAGTAAACATTCTAAGAAGAAGAAGATTGAGTATAGATTGATTTAAACTGGTTGGACATTATCTACCCACAGACTTTTCTATTCCAATCAAAAGATTATTATTATAAAAAAGATTATATTATAAATATTATTTAAGATTTGTGAGACAGTAGGTATCATGTGTGATATCAACACTTAGGAACAACAATAATTATCACATATTTATAGTTATACAAGTATTATATTAAATTTAATCCTTTAATAACGAGGTTTTTCGAAAAGTAGTGAAGTACAACAACTAAAATTCATTTTTATATTATCTTAATTTTTTGAATTTTTGGCTGACCATACAGCTGTTTCGAGTATTACTAAATACTATAATAATATTACTAAATAAATAAATACTAAATACCTATCATCAGTGGTCTTGGAAATAATTCCTGTATTTAATTATTCGTAAATAATTTTTTGAGACTGCAAGTACCAGGAATTGAACTCGTGTCCTGCCAAATTTGAAGCTCAGAGTCAGAACACCTTCAAATGCAACTATGCAAAAAATAAATGATAACCAAAAGATAAGTTGAGATAACGAAAAAGTGGTATTTATTTTTAAAAACAGCTGACTTTTATAAAACCGAGAAAATATTTTAAAAATATTGCAAACTGTAACTGTTATTAATTTAAAATATAGTGAAGAATTTACCTGAAATCTTTATAGTTTATAGTCATAATAATCAATTATTAAAATTCCACAACTACAAATAGTGTTTTGAGCATGTAAAAAAAACATATGATTTCCTTAATTTGGGCCAGTATGAACACTTTCCAAATTAACTTAATTTCATTTGAACGAAATTAAGGAAATTTGACTGTCTGAACATAGTATTAATTACTACAGAATGAATTTTTGCGAAGGTGTTAGAAATTTCATTATTTTTCGAAAACACAGATAATGATAGGCTAACTTCCATCACTTTCATGGATGGATTAGCACAGAGGGTCTAACTTAACTTCCGAGATTCATAAGCCAATTAGAGATTCATTTTTTATTTTTTTTTTTTTAATTTTCGTTCGTTCTTAATTTTCTTAATTTTTACATAAAATAAACAAAAAATTTTTTACAAGTCGGTTTTAACCACTTGGAACTGGTTCGTATAGAAAGAAATTGTGACTTTATTGCGTTCATGCTTACCTAATTAAGTCGTTAATTATTAGAAATTATCAACAAAAATATTAACAGCAGGGACGGATAAATTCCATTAACGTCGTTGTTGTTGGTTTTCTTCTTCTTGTTGCTGCTGTTTCTGTCACCATAGTTTTTTTTTGTCAAGGGGTAGAGTGATGAAGGTGCTACTGCACAACGTTGGCGCTGTCTGCGCCTTGCTATTTATTATTGTTTTTGTTTGTGCTTTTGCTTTTTTGTTTTTAAACAAAATACACATAAATTATAAAATAAATATTTAAAACAAAAAGCAGTACTCGAGTCTGGTGTTTATACCTGTTTATTTGCTTTAAACAAAAAACAACAGAAAAAAAAACCAAAATTGTCATAAAAATTTGTGTTCACCTTCAGTCTGGTGATCTTAATTTATTGTTGTTGTTATTATTTTTATCACTTTTTTTTTAAAAAGTAAATATTTCTCTATATATCTACTTTAAGTTAATTTTTTTTTTAAATATTTTTATTGTTGCAGTATGTAGTTTGTTTATTAAAGTTAAAATATATGTAGTTTAATATTTATTGAAAACTAACATATTTATATTTTGATGGCTTTGAGGAAGGGAAAGCAGTCATTTCTAATTTTATTAGTTCAATAGTTCAAATAATTATCACTGCAGAAAATTTCAGGTTTTTCCACATAAAAAATAATCATTGCAAAATATCACGGAAAATACTTTTAAGCAAAGCATTTATGTATTAAAAAAGTTTATATAACAATTGTTTTTTTTTTAATAAATTATAAACACTGATAAAAACATAAGATTTAATTATGACGAGAACTAAGTTAAAAATAAAAACACTCTAAACGAACGTAAATAAAGCGAACAACTGAATCACTTAATAAAAACAGCTGCCAACGAGCATGGAACAGTGTTGCAAGTTTACCCCATTTCCATAACAAATAATTAAGGGAAAAATTTTATTTGTTATAAAAATTTTTAGTAATGTATGAGTGATTATTTCAAAATACATAATATTATTATAAAAAACTAACATAAGATGAGTGTAAAAATAGAATAATAATAATGATAAAGTATTATGAGTATATATATAACTACATATATATATTATTATGAACACACTTTTTAATTCAGAAGAAAGTTTGTGCAAGCAACACTGATATGTGCTGTCACATGAGCAGCGTAGCTGATGTTAAGTCATAAGACAAACAGTGACAACAATATTAATAATGCATTTATGAGTCTTTTTAGAAACAGGTGGAAATTTTATTAAAATTATACTCAATTTTTGTACTAAAATATTAAATACATAAATTTAGGGCGAAAGACCTAGCAGGTCAGTTCCACATATCGAGTTAACTTTAAAATTAATTTTAATGTTAATTCACAAATAAATAAATGTAAAGGCATGTAAATAAAATTATATTATAAACAATTACTTAATTTCCATAAATTCGATTATTTCATTAACAAATCATATGGTACACAATAAAAGCCGTAATTTTTCCGATCAGAGTAGGAAAAAAATGCTCGCAATTTACGAAAAAAACAAGTTAATCCAATTTAACGCTCTTAGTATCTTCAGAGTTGGGTTTTACTAGTAAAAATTTTTACGTCTTAATATTCAGTGCAGCCAAATTCAAAAATTAATCTTTTGTGAATAATCACTGAAAATATGTTACAAAATTATAGTCATCCGTTAAAATCATATAAGCAAAAATAATAAATAGTAATATATCAAAACAATAAGTTAAAAAATGCTTACCATTGCTCTACTATTACACATTTTGTTTTCTTTATATTATATTAATTAATTTTTAATGCTTACAACATTTATATATTATATTGTGCATAATACAGCAAAAAACATATGTCAAAGAAAAGTATTCAACATATTTTAAAACTGATGCCAATATGTTGCAATCAGTGTTAATGCTGTTTTTTTACAGCTCTGAAAGAAAAAATTACTACTATGTTACTATGTTAATTTAAGCAATTGTAGATAAAATCTGTTTGTTCAAACATATTATATTTATTATAAATATATAAAAAAATATTTATAAAAAAATATATTCAATTAATTTACCTTTAATGCAATTTTTTTACCATAAAAAAACTTATTACCTTAAAAACTTTTATTTAAAAACTCAAAAAAACTTGAACGGTGCTTAAAACTTTGTAGTGATAGAGGAAAACAATATACAAAAAAAGAAAATTTATTAATTGTAATTATTTATTATAAAAAAATATTTTTTTTGTGTATACGTTAATGTAGAAATAATTTTATTTTATATTTTTTAAGGATAGAAAAATTATCTTAAAATATTCCCAGCTATATTGAAAATATCTATGCATGTTTAATATATAAATGCTATTTTTATTTAAAAACGGAGTGCTGGTAACTCTGAATGTAGTTATTTCACTCAATTCCAATAAGAGTGAAAAAAATTCACAGTCGTGATTTCACAGTTAACGAAGCGTCAGTTATGAAATTTAAAAGTTAAATACATTTATTATTTCTAAATTTAAATATACAATGTATAATAATAAAAAACATTTATTGCACAAAAATAAAAATTTAATCAAAAAATATTTAAAAGTAACTTACATTATTCACAAATTTTTTATATTGATGCATACACCACACATGTCCGCACATTAATTGAAAATCAAATTTTGCAGTTTAATTTTAAAGGTAAACAATGTTTTTTTAATTGCAATTACATTAAATTAAAGTAATTACATTAAATTATTAATACATATTTAAATTTTATACCTAAATAACTTAAATATTTAAAGTGAACTTAAATAATTTTGTTCGGTGAATGTAAACATATATGATATATAAATTTTGAACGAATATTGAAAAAACTGGAAGTACTTGCTAATATTTAAAATAAATAAGTAAAATAATTAAATTTATATAAATTTGATTTATGTATATACTAATGTAATAGATATACATACATATTACGAATATGAATTGCAAAATTTTGCACCGTTTTTAAAATTAATTCAATGAAGAAAATTTTAAGCAGTCCATACTCACTTCAAATTTAGGGGGACCATACGCCACATAATTCTTTTAGTTAAAAATTTCTTAACCATGAATTTTATTTAATTAAAAATGATTCTATGAATTAGGATGAACATTTTACAATTATAAAACCAACATTAATTCTATATATGAGGTATGTTTCCGAGAGTATTAGTTATCATGTAGAACCTAAGCTCGTTTTATTACATTCTTTTATTCTTCTCTATTTTTGACTTTCATCTTCCAGTTAAAGACATTCATATCTCTTAGATCATGTCGAACACTGAGCTCTAATCACTTCATCTTTCTTTCGGTCTTCATTTCCTTCTTACTTTTCTTATAATCCTTCTTTCAAATACCACCAGTTTGTTTGCTTCGGCATCAATTAATCTCCAGGTTCCACTCCCATAAGTGACTGCAAGCCATATAACTGTATTAGTTTTATGTATGAATAAAGTGAAAAATATTAGATAGTCATTAGCCATAAAATCAAAGCTCGCCAAAAAGACACATGAACATGTTTTTATACTGATGTATTTATATATAACTAAAATAAACAGCGACAAATCAGTCAAAATTTAATAATTGATATCATTAGTACAAAATTGTTATATAAAAGTAATTAATTATTTTTTTAAAACTTTGTTTTTCAATATAATTATTATTACAACAAATTAATACAAGTCTTTAGACTGTGTTAAACCCATAAATATTTTAGGGGCATTAGTTTCGTAATTATCTAAATAATAAAATAGTGTTAAAACAAGAAGAGCATTTGGTACATATATTATATATAAAATAAAACTCAGTATAGAAACTGAAGGATTGGATTGTTAATCTTTACTACAGATTATTGATTATCTGTAAATCGATTTCCATGTCACATATACACTGATTATGTATTGTCGTAATTTTATTTCATTTTGTAATAAAGGACAGATTGTTGTTAGAATTTGACTTACTAAAACATTTAGTTAATTTAAACACATAAATATGATTAAACATATTTCAGTCCTGCTAAACTAAGAATTATATTCGTACTATTGAACATGTATCCGACTAATATTTTGTCCAGGTACTGAGTAAACAACGTAGCATACGATAAAACTGACAGATATAATCAATTTCATTATGAAATGCTACGGAATAGCTAATAATTAATACTAAAAATTATCTGAAACTGGTTTTACAATGTATTTTGTTGTTGAGTCAATGTCCTTCTTTACTAAAATGCACTATATAACATGATATAAATTATTTTAATTTAAATAATTGATGCTAACACATCTTTGACTTCAACAATGAAACATAAATAAAAACATCAGTTTTCTTTTCAAATCCTTTGAGATATTATTTTGTTCTGCTCATGGTATAATTAATTATAATAATTAACTATACGATTTATTTTAATGTTACGATTTGTCAAAATTTGTTAAGTTTGTTTTCACTCAAATTATTCTTTAGAAACTTTTTGACTTGACTACATCTTGGATACGTCGACTTTAAGTGTTGAATACATAAATTGTCACACAAAATTACAGAAGGCAAATAATTCTGAAAATCCTTACATACTGTCACAAATCCTTTGTACGTGACAATTTCAATAATACTCGCATCCGTTTCTGTAGTAGACGTCATGTAGACATTGATAATTATAATAATTAAGTTTGATATAAAATCTGATTTACTTGCCTTTATTATATGTGAGGTGCAGGCACGTTTTTGACTAAGAGTGTGAAATTGGAATTTTTAAAGGATATTTTAAAAAAATTTTTCAATTTTTATCAATTCACAAATCAGTAAGCCAATTAAAAAGTTATTGACCCTATAAGCACTATAGTAAAGTGCTTCCCTTCACATATTTAAAGATAAAAGAGTGCTTACATTTCAGTAATTGCCGTATTCCATGCCAAACAGCAGTTGGAAAAACTTTCGAAGTATATTTCACATTTACCTAAACTACTTTTCATAATCTAAGGGAACAATAACCCGTAGTATATTCAACTTTTTCGGTTGAAAAAGTTTTCTTTGAGAAATTTCCTTATACGAGTATACACAGAAGCTACGTAAAAACTTTTAACTTTTCCTTTGAGATCATTGTGCTTAGAAAGTGCGCTACAAAGAAAATTTGGTATGCTGATTTCATCACATAATTATTTATTTAAACAAATAATTTGAATTTTTTAAAAATACTAAATTATAAATTTTTGTGATAAGTAAAACTTTTTATAAGAATGTGTAAGATTTATTGTAACATTTAAATTATTTATATATTTATCAATTTATCTGCTTTTCCATTATGCATTTATTTATTTAATGCTTTTAGGTACATATAAATAATTATAAAGGGTTTTAATTAATTATAAGTTATGATTTTGTGGCTCTAAGTTTAGGGTTTGGATTTTT